TCATTGTTTATTGCTAAAATATTGATTCCTGTATTTTTCAATGTACAGGAATGACACCTTCCTGTACTCTGCATTATTCCTTAATTCCTGTATAATACAGGCCATTCCTGTATATCTGGCAACGCTACACACCACACAAATCCTGATAATCATTTCAGGCACCCAATCAAGCCGTGAACATAATAGCGAATTGCAGGCAACGTTAAGGCCTTCTAAAAGCACCTCGGCCCTTTGCAACACTTTGGCCCTCCAGACCATGTTGTTTGTGCTGTACAACTGTCCCCAACAAAATCCGGTGGCAAATTCTCGTTCCCAATTGAGTCCGAGATTAGATGTGTTGTATTGCGGTAGACATACAGTGTTTGCCTTATAGTGAACCGACTCTATTGACCCGTTTATATCGATGTCAGTGTTTAGCTCATAGAGAGCTATATCGTTGAGATCAAGAATTGGGTTATACTCCGGGTGTCGAAACATATTATGCAATTCAACGCGTATACACTCTCCGCCCTCCGGGTGCTGATTGTCGCCCACAAACACCCGGATCCTATTGTATATATCCCTTAATGTTGTTTTACTGTTTGTCAATAACAAATAATTAATAATATAATTTTAAAACAATATACTACAACACATACTTGTAATTACAATGGGCTGCTGTCAGGACCCAGCGTTTGTTTAGTATACTACCGGTGCACGTAATGGCGCCCACTTTGCCGGGTGTGTCGTATTTAATGAACACAGTATAGGGAGACTCAGCGAACTCGGCATCACTTCCCGCGTATACCCTATTGATCGGCGCATACGTTATTGGGTAACGAAAGACACCAAAAATGTCATCCATTGTCTCATTATTGACTGCATTTGTGAAACATTTTGTCGGATAATATATGATATATTTTTGGGGCACATATCGGAGCCCACAGTCATCGCCAGTAATGTTTGGATTGTAACCCAATTTAACATACATTCCCACAATTGCTATGAATTTGGTATAAAATGTGTTAATAATTGCGTTGAATATACAGTATTTTAAATATACAAACATTTAAAGACAATCATAAAAAGCAATAATTTGTACATTTTAAACGAAACTGACGGTTAGTTTTATAAAAGCAATTTATGTATAATAATACATTTTAAATAATAACATAATGATATAAATATATGGCATTTACATGTTACATTTATTAATGTAATTCACATTTTATTATAAACAGAAATACTTTAAAAAATAATTAAGAAAGTTTTGTAGTTAACATGAAATAATGGCAATACTTTACGGTTATCTATAATTAAAAAGGATAAGCAAGTTTATCATTAATAAATTGTAAATAATTAAAGTAATGATAAATACATACAAATAATAATTTAGGAAAAGTCATTACAAATAAAGTTCCGACAGAAAAACCAGTTATGAGTTGTTTTGACAGTAATTTCTCTATAAATGCCATTAGTTTTAACTTAATATCACTTTTAGAGTTAATTGAGAATTGCATTGAAATCAGACTATTATGTGATAAATGCACTGATTTTGATACCATTGACGCACAATAGGAGATGAAGAATATATTGACCCAGGTGTAAATAAATGCGTATACAAATAGTATAAATGTGAATAATTCTAGTCGACTAAACATAATCACAATTAAAAGGAGTATATTTATCACCATCATTGTAATAACAAATGAAAAGTATACAATTTGCCAAAACTTATTAAACATTGAAATTTGATAGCAAATAACGTTGTGTTCAATATATATATATTTAATTTTTGAGGCTTTAATGAATAATTTTTGATTTAATTGCCTTATATTGGAATTCAATAAATTGCTTCTCAATTGAAAGTAATAAATAATTATATAAAAATTTATAGTTGTTTTGAATAAATCAAAACAACAGTTATAAATAGTTCAAAATCTCTATATCTCTTTATACAGATATAGAGATTGCGGTTATGAATATAAATGTCTGAATAAATTGCTTCAATGAATAGTATTTAATGCAGATTATTATGAATATTATTGCATATACTGTAACTAAAAAGAAAAATATCATATAAACAATTAGCCTGATACAATTAATCGTTGTTATCATACATACCTGCAAACCATGAAAAAGCATAATAAATAATTGACAATATTGATGCCCTAGATCGTAATTTACAAACAATAACTTTGTGTCTATTATTCAAATGCAATACACGAGTACTTAGTCTACCATTTATTACATCAAATAGTTTTGTCCAATAATTCATTTTTCTCAATAATATTGGGGTGTGAAATATTATCCTGATTAATATACACCAGGACATGCCCATGGTGATTATTAATGCGTTAAATGATTGAATGCCACCCGTAAACAGCCAGAAATCAAATAACATTAATCTCGTTTTGTAGTCTAAATCCACAAATGAAATGAAAACATATTTACAAACATTGAATAAATGGCAAAATATAATCCATGTATTCAATGAGTTTTGATTACTTTTGTAAT